TTTAGTTCTTTTTTGAGACTAGAAGAACTGCAGAGAAGCAGAAAGTGCTGTATGTCAGACTTCATTAATAGAGAAGACCTGAAGAATGCCTTCATGAACCTCTAAAAATAAAAGTTGGCTTCACAAAATTAGTTTGGATTCATAAACCATTTTACCTATAATTTAAAATCCCTCTGCATCACACCCCAGAGGCAATTCAGTTGCACAGAATTTCCAGCCAATGGGAAACCTGTAATATATATTATGGAAAGAAAGCTAGGTTGTCATGTGAGGGAACCTTATTTACACTATAAATAATGAGCGAATTCCAGCTAATGGAGAGTAGGCCCAACTTCACTGATATCAATCTGTATCCCATTGTAACAGTTGAATTGGGAGTACACATTTCTTCATTTCCCTCTGTCTTCAAGTTCCAGGTATCTCACCAAGTGCATTTCCAGTCATTCAGGATAGCAGAGGTAGCTAGAATTCTACTGTGATATATTTTCTTCTTTAGACTCTTTCATTTATTGAGGGGGGAGAGATTTTCCTGCCTGTCTTTGTTTTTGGTAATTGGATAATTGGTTGATTGGTTTGAGTCATTAGAGTCATGGTTGTATCCTTAAAGAACAGAAAAGTTAATGGTTCAGTTTGGGACATAAGATCAGGATACAGAAAAGGTTACTCCATTAGAGCATGTGACTGTAGCCCAAGAAGACTTGGAGCTCCATCTCTATTGTCAGTACAGTTGAACTGTGGCATTCGCCCAGCGACGACAGCAAAATTTCCCTTCCCAATGTGTGCTCCTCGGCTACACAAGCTGTTATCAGTTTCCTAAAGACTTTGACTCTCAATGGAGCAGAGATTGACATCAGCATCCTGGAGGTTTGATTAGCAAGGCTGGACCTGAAAGCCCTTCAGTAAGTCTTCTGGAAATAATACATTCTTGTCTAAATGGACAGCTTAACTGTGATGTCATGTAAATCAGCAGTGGCTGATTGATTTAGTAAAACGTGGAGTAGAGAAGTGGTCCATGACTTGTCCCACAAATTTATTGCAAACTGAGGACATAGCCTCAAGGGCAAAACACTGACAAAACTATGAATAGACCAGCCTAAGCACATTTCATATTTTTTGTCATTGTGAAAAACTTTGATTTTTCTGCTTTTTGTTAGCATCATGCCTAAAAGCTACGCTAGGGTCAGTAGTTTCTGTTGGTTGATATTTTCCTGGCATGACTATCCTGCACCATCACCTTGTACAGCTATTCCACTTGGCAGTTATTTATATCTAGTACATCAGGACAGTGTAACAAGCACAAAATTTGATGAGTTAATTAGGGCTTTTGAAGTTGTCAGTCCTTATCCAGGCATTAAAGTTAACTCAAGGGAAGATCCCACAGTAGATTCTCTCATATCTTTGTCCAAATATCTTACAAAATGCCTTTTCTCTGATCCCTCTTTCTGCCTTGAGTAATGAAGAAAATAAAGCGAGGACAATAGTCATCTCATAACACCTTACTGATCAAGACATAATTGGTTTTCTGAACTAGTTAAGATGCTAGGAGGAAACTAATTTTCCCAAATGACCAGGATTTCCTTCACTCAGAAGTTTGATACCTGGAAAAGACTTGAGAAACCTGAACTTAGCAATGTGGTTCTTGAATAGAAAATTATAAGTCCATTATATTACTCACTACAAGTCATAAATATTCCCTTATAAGCCAGGAATAATCCATTAAGAGAAACTACGGACATCTGGCTTAGCTTTTAGGCATGATGCTAACATAAAGAACAGAAATAAAAGTTTCTTCCAGTGGCAAAAAATATGGACCTTCCTTAGGCTCATACTTATAGGCCTGGCCTACGCTAGATCAGGAAGGTCAGCTTAAGGTATGCAACTCCAGCTACGTAAACTGCGTAGCTAGAGTTGGCTTACCTTAAACCGAGCCTTGGCAGCATCCACATGGCAGGAGACCGATGAGAGTGAACATTCCCATCAGCTTCCCTTACACCTTGCAAAAGGAGGAGTACTGGACACCGGGGGGAGCTGCCCTCAGAATATTTCCTCTGTTATATAATGGTCATGCTATTTCACTTTCAGAATATGATCTGAGGAAGTGGGTCTGCCCCACAAAAGCTCATCAGCTAATAAATCATCTTGTTAGTCTTTAAAGTGCTACATGACTGCTTTTTTTTTGTTTTACCAAGATCAGACTAACACGGCTACCTCTCTGTTAATTTAGGTCTATACTAGACACGCTAAACCTAATGCCAGATCGACCTCTGGAGCATCGATCTTCTGATAAATATAGATGTACCCCTAATATTTTGACCTTGAAGCAGTGTCCTTCAATTCTCACAAAATTGGTGGGAGAACTCATGGACAGTTTCTCTATTCCAATCCATGTGTTCCTAGATCTATCAAAGCAGCGTAAAATTTATGCAACTCCAAGTAATCTTTTTCCCACAAGTTGGGTAAACCTTGCACTTCATGTGCTAATATGCAGACTTTATGTTTCTACAATATGGGTTGCTTTATTTCCTCTCTGTACATTCCTCTCTCCACAGAAGAGCCATGCACCATATTCCACAAAGATATTGTTCTGTACACCTCATCCTTATTTATCTCCAAGTAGAATACACTCTCTGTGCTCACAAGAAATCATGCTTCCTCCTTTTTCACTCTAGTCTCTGTGCTGAAAAGAAAAAAACATGGCACAAGTTAAGATATTTTCCTAGCAATCTGAGCCTGTCTAAAAAGAGGATCTGAAGCCATAAGCATCTCATCCATGATGGAGAAAACTACAGAGTCAAACTCCTGGCAGGCAGAGAAGATGCTGTTTGAGAGCAGAATTCAAATAAAATCATATGAAATTGTTGTGTACTATAGATGGAACGGGATGCATGCACAAAGAAATATGCAAAGCAGCCACTTTAGTTAAACAAACACCTTTTATCATATATTACAAACTAGACTTGTGTACCTCAGCAGACACAGTCTTTAGCTAGAGAGTATTGCAATCCATTGAGGAATCCTAGTTTGCTCTCCTATTGTTGTCCAATATATATTTTTATTTTTACTCACTAGTCTACGTTCTGGATTCTCATTGCTACCACATATTTCCAATCTGGTTTAGCAACTATCTGTTTACAAAGCAAAGTAAAGATTTTGGCTTCTCTATTTAATTTC